AAACACTGAAAATGTCTCCCCAGGACTTACATGATGTTATTAGCCTGTTAATGGTAAGTAAAAATAAACTCAATATGAAGTCAAATACGATAAAATCAAGAAAAGGTTTTACTCGACAAGTCCGACAGTATATGGCCATGTTTTACGACAGACAGTGCATCATTACATATATTTTAGCACAACTGCATAACAAATGTACAAATGTACGACTAAAACTCTTTCACTAAGTACATTTTCTAACCTTTGCCGATAAAACCAAGGTGTCAAATGGCCGTTTTACGAGCAACTATTGCCACTACCGCGAACCCGTTGTACCAACTATGGCCGAACATAGCAATCCGTCTTTCTACATCTGACAGATTTCAGGAAAAAACGTTTTCCTCCATAGCAGCTAAGCATTATTGTGATCAGCTACAAGAGCTAAATCAAAATATCAAAACCACAATCCATAGTTAACAACGAACAAATTAAGATGATAGGTTTGTTACAATTATAACGTCGAACTAGGGAGTTCCTCTAAGATCAAGGATGTTTTATTTCCTAATAGCTTATCTCCTTAAATTATATTTGACAGAAAATTGACGCTAAGAGTGTGCATAATAGAATTATCGTTGCCATGAACAGCGTTGATTGCTCAATTATCTTCTTTTGTATTGCTTTATAGAAACCTCAATCGCCTAAGCTGGCAACTGGATAACTGTTTGACACCTTTAATAGTGTTTCATTTATCACTTTAAGCATATAATGGATTAGTGGAGACTGAGAAATAGACATTAAAGGAAGCTGAACGGAAGGTTGTTATGGTGCWTACTTTTCTTCCTCGCTACTTCCGCCTTCRWTCTTTCGTGAACTCTCAACTTTGCGTAAAACAAGCTTAATGTTTCTTCAATAAACGATTAAAATCGCATCCTTCATCTTTCAAAGTACTTATTCTCGATCATTTATATGACTGCATAATTAAAACCCTGAAATACAATTTAGAGAGCTATTACAACATGATAACAAGATTGTGTATCGAAATTAACAGCTCTTCTTTAACCTTTTATTTGTTATTCACTGAATTATTGTCAACATTATTATTTTATTGCATTGCCTAAACAATATGCATTTTTTAAACAGTTTTACAGGATCTTGCTTGGATTAGTTGTCAAATCCATCTTACTGCAGCTATTCTTTGGAGAGGTAACTACGTTTCACTTTCAGTTATACAAATAGCTAAGATAATAATTATTATATCATTCTACAACTGACGACTATACTATATTAAGGGCAATTGAATTCAATAATGTGAATACAAAATCTAAAAAGAATCAAAAAATCAAATCAATCAAGAATTAAAAAATCAAACGGAATACTGCTTTCATGATACCTGCTGTTATCAAACTTATTATAATTGCTAAGTGTGAGGTTAGCTTCAAAAAACTTACTAGTAATTTTTATTTAATAAAAGGATTTTATGTTTCAGTTTTTGAATGCAGATGAAACAGGCTGCGCAGAAGAAGTAAGTGAGGATATGCTTTTAAATTGAGCTCAAATACAATTGAATTTCACCAGGCATGCACTGCTCTTGACAAGTTTCATATATTATGCAAATGCATTACATGATCTATTGCATCATCCTCTACTGTCATAAACAATGCTAGGCCACAACAGAGAGCAAAATTACATTTTTGGTTAATTTGGGGTCTTCAACCTGTGAGGGTCAAAAATAATAATCATAGACCGCTCCTGTTCAATACATGTATCAGACCTATCATAACAATTACTAATATGTCCGGCATCCTGAATTACAGAGAAATGATGGCAATGTCTAGGGTGCAAAAGCACAAATCCTACTATAATGATCACTTTTTCAAATAATTTTGTGCTTCAAAGTTTTTAATTGTTTAAAGAAAGTTCAAATATGTTATGCAGTTTTCGATTGAGCTATAATTGTTATTAGAAAGTACTTGACATGTATTTCACAAATTCACTTATTAATTTTTAGAATGATGACGGTGAAAACAGTATCCACAGCAATGAGAGCTGCGGGCAGCAATGGCCGGTAATGAAACAAAAAAATTTGAATGGCTATCTTTTCATTGATTGTCCTCATTTTGTCAACCAATTAGAATAGACGTTAATTTAGACTTCTGTGGCATTCTTCATTACATGTACATTGAGTTCTAAGGGTGTTATTTTTAAGAGACAGGAAGAAGCATCAGAAGATTTCGCTACGCTCACTCGTGAGAGATCTTTTCAATACTCGAAGATAAAATCCGTATCTCCGCGTCCCCATGTAATAATTATCCTCTATATCACTTAATCAAGTATTACCATAATATATTATTTCTAAGATTACTCACATTGGTTAATGCATTTCTGATTATTTAGAATGATGATCTCTTGCAGCAGCCAATGCAGGTAACACTACCCAAGTTTACAATATTTTTGCCATTGTAACATGATTTACAATAATTACATCAATCGATCCATCTCAATTAGAAACAATAGCAGTTCATGCAAGTGAAAAAAGTTTTCTCATTTTCATTTCTGACACTACAGGAAACTGGACAACCTGAAGAAGGATTGGATCACCCTTTAGAGGTACATACATGTATCATACTGTAAATTTTATAGACCGAAAAGATGATCCTGCACTATGTCACACAACCAAATATTGTGTTACTTCAGTCTAGAAATGTTGATATTTTTTCTATTTCAAACAAATGACCTCCATAACAAAAAAAGAAAAAAAAAGAAACAGAAATAATGATCTTATTTTCAGAACTTACAGCAGAGAAGAGATATGATGGAAGAAGATTATCAGTGGGATAATGCTTATAACCTGGCATTGGAAGAACAAATACAGCAACTACAATGTTATATGGAAGCTCGAAGGGAAGAAGAAGTCCAGCATCTCTTCACACAATTGGAAGAGATAAAGCAACATCAAGAACAACTGCTAATAGTTGAAATGGAAGAAAAAAGGCAAGTACAAGACCTGCAGCTCAGCAAGGAAATGGATGATAGAAGGCAAGCACAAGACCTGCAGCTCCGCAAGGAAATGGATGATAGAAGGCAAGCACAAGACCTGCAGCTCCGCAAGGAAATGGATGATAGAAGGCAAGCACAAGACCTGCAGCTCCGCAAGGAAATGGATGATAGAAGGCAAGCACAAGACCTGCAGCTCNTAATTTTGGCAACGATTGTCTCTACTCTAAGACCTATGGACACAAGGGAATACTGTTAACGTTACCGTATATTGTGATGCATTAAGACGTCAACAACTTATCGAGATAACATCTAGAGCATGTCGTAATAACTAGACAAAAGTGTATRTTTCAACACAGCGTTYATTGCAGTCATGGCAGCTTCAATGCAAACTCGTTCACAACGCACAATATATCTCATTACGTACAGTAGGGCTAATTTGGAGACTTTCAGCACGCGTCAAAGTTTTGCCAACGTGGTATTGAATGCATGGGAGACAGTTACAACGTCGAAAGTTGTACASTGGGTTGTATGCCGAGAGGAGCATAGMGAAAATATCTCCCAAGTGAGTAATTATCACTACCACATGGCTATAAAGTTGAATAAGAAGAGTCGTTGGGCTGCTGTACGAAACTACCTGGATTCCTTCTACAACGTTAAGGTGAATTTCAGTGATAATCACGCCAACTATTATAGCGCATATAAGTATTGTTCGAAGGAGGMCACTGAAGTTTTACATTCAAATGGTCACCCAAATCTTGAAAATATCGATATGCCTCGCACATCGCAGGCCAATCAAAGCAGAAAGTCCAGTGCTGCTGAAATCAAATTAAAAAAGGGAAGCGAAAGCAGAGATTAACTGTTTACGATGTTAATCGAATAATAAGTAAAAGTAAAGGTCAAGATTAGAATTAGTAGCACTAGCTACTTCTCCGGAGAAAGAAGGGAAAGATGACCTKGCACAATTTATAGCCAACAGGGGCTATAAGATTGTTGATGAGGCCCTCAATGTCTCATGGGAATTCGATGACGCAGAGAAGGAGCTCAGTAGATCAAAGATGTCCCGTCTCCAACTGCTAGAAGAACAGTTGTCACACCAATGTGTCCCGGGGTGCAACAAAAAGTGGCTGGAGTGTGCATTGGATTTACTGAAGCGCAATAACATAGACCGCAAGTTATTTTGTAGTTCTGTTTATACTGCATTAGAGTTAGGTCGAGGCAAGTACCGCAACGTCTATATTTACGGGCCAGCCAACTGCGGGAAAACATTCATCATATCTCCTCTAAAGGAGATATATAGAGCCTTTGTAAACCCAGCAACTGGCACATTTGCCTGTGTGGGAGCGGAAAAGGCGGAAGTAATCATTTTGAACGACTTCCGATTGAATGCATCCATAATCGCATCTTACAGATGCTCGAGGGAGACACGACGCACTTGCCAGCTCCTAAGAACTTTGTGATTAAAGATTTGTTTTTTGACAGGGACACACCATTTTTCGCAACGGCAGATCAACCCCTTTTGTGTTTAAAGTGTGGCGTTATCGACAATGTGAACAGCGAAATGATGCGTGCGAGATGGAACCACTTTCATTTCTCAAGTTCCACAAGACCAGCAAAGGGCATTAAAACCCTGTGGGCGATGTTTTGCAGACCTAATTGTCAACAATACCACTTAACCAATAACTACTACTTTCGACATATTTTTTTATTATGCATTATTTTTTTATTATGCATTCATATTCTTTATTGACTAATAAACCTTGTTATCTGTCTTTTAGGTCGTTTATCTAATTATTGTATACTGTTACTATAGAAAAGAATTGCAGAATTGAAAGACTGAATAAATGCATAAACACTGATATCGCATGTTGTATATATGTCTTGAATGTCTACCAAAAAYGAACTGGTAACTTTAACTARCGATACACAGAAACCTATGTGTAAYAGGAAGCCAATAATGAAGGCTGTCATTTTTCTAACGAGATATACGCCCGATATACACAGGTAACCCAACATTTCTCCCCTACATTTCTCCAGCAC